TACATTTCCCAGACAATTAACATGCTAGAACTTCAGTATATGTCAGATTCTCATCACATAACAACAGATACTCATTGCAGTACCAGAAATACAATAAGGCCATAATACAGGACACTGCCTTTCACACTTATCACCCCTCGCCACAAAAAACGTAAAATCAAGCTAATTATCAAATGTTCGAAAAATTGAATTATTTAGTTTACAATGTATCAAATCGATTTTCCAATAATTATAACCCTAACATTGCTGGTAATTCATTAACAACGATCATACTGTTACATACTGTAATCTAAAAACAACAACAATTGTGCTATACAGTCAGATCTTGTGAAGATGATTTTGTTTTATCACACAGTTATAATCAAAGTTCCAGAATCATCCAACTCGATAAAGTTTTGAATATGTCCGTTTTTTTTAATTGACACAAGTTACACGGTAGAGAAAGGTTATTGTGTAGGGATAAAGTTCAACCTCTGGTCATTATTTCACGTGGCAAATATTCAGTTGTGTTTGAAAATGGTTACTATTCATGTAATTAACCGTAAGTAATAATGTATCCTACTCAGCCATGAGCCACACTACAGCGTAGTTTTCATAGAACAGTATTTGTTCATAATACAGTGGTGAACTGATTTCCTCCCAAGTGTTAAGGTAGGCCTGTTGAATAGCGGGGGATCGAACAGGAAATTTAATGGTTCAAGCTATATGAGAAATAAGGAGACATAAAACCTTTGATGTTAAGTAAGTGAAACAATCTTTATTAAAAATAAAGCAAAAACAGCTGGTGTGTTTGTATAGAAAGAAGATACAATCATCTTACTACTCAATTAGTGAAGAGATCAGCCGCTTCCCCTCCCCTCAAGTGGATCTCTGTAGAACTATTCATTTGGAGAACAAGTAAGAACTCTCTGAAAGTATAGAGGTTCCAATCTTGTCAGAAACCTCGTAACCTATCTTTACAATAACATCACCACGTGACTGATCATTCTCTCACAGTATTCATTGGCTATAACATACAGACATCATCCACTTGGCCAACAAAGGATGTTGCAGTCGTTGACCACTTTTAACACAGATGTACAAAATTGCTGCAACATCCTCTCGGCCAGAGTAGATATTATCTACTATAGAGAACAAAGACACAAAGTTAATTCCAATGGAACAGTTTCAGTGGTTTTCGTGACAATGTATTTATAGTAAAACTGCATAGAAAAAGACTAAATGTAAAATCCCAATATTGATAAAGATGGCGGAAAATATATTGTATACCCTCATATCACAGTGTATGTGGTTTATAACAAATGTTTTAACTAGAGTATCCACTTCTATGATGCAGAAAGAATTGAAGATGCAGTGTCCTATAAGATATCTATATTCTGACCAATTAAAAACTACAGTTTCAAAGAGGTGCAATGCCTTACAAATAACTTTTATTTGGTAATTTTGTATTATGTTTATTTAGTGTGATGCAGGGGATAAATGTGTAAAGTTTGAATTATTTAGGTTATTAAGAAAAACATTCCTTTTCAGGAATATGCATTTCTAAGTGTATAAATAGTTATATTTGTAAATGATTAAGTCAAACTGTACTGCATTACCATTTGTTAGTGTGATGCATGTATACCTAGAATTTGATTTTTCCGTCAGTGCGAAAAACAGACCATTTTAGGGCTACCTAGTTCAACTAGCATATGGATAATCACGTGTGTAAAACCATGAATTATGAAATACAACTAGTCGAACTGTAATACATAAAATATTAATTTTACCGTTTTGTTTCGTACTGAATAAATAGATATGAAGTGAAACTGTAAAGTAAAAAGTTGACCATAACTATAATTCAGAACTGATATCTTTCAGAAAGCTTTGCACTCGAGATCAAACAAAGTTCAATACGACATAAATGGAGACTGGAACTCGTCAACATCGGTAGATTCTACCTTCTGTGGCGCTCTCTAGAAGCACTCTATAAAACTATCCACCTTCTGGCGGCACCTTATGGAACTGTCACCCCATGCAGCAGACTGTGTAACTTAGATATAATAGGACACGTGACCTTCGGCCATTAAAGGATATTCCCACTGGACGGTCCCTTTCAACGATATATCCAACATTACATACTAAGAATAAGCAAGCTAAATTAATAAAAAGAATTAAACCTCGGAAATTAGGGAGAATGGAGTAAACGAAACTCTGTTGGTGATTTTAGACTTGTAATAAACAAAACTCTGTTGGTGATTTCAGACTTGTAATAAACAAAACTCTGTTGGTGATTTCAGACTTGTAATAAACAAAACTCTGTTGGTGATTTCAGGCTTGTAATAACCGAAACTCTGTTGGTGATTTCAGACTTGTAGTAAACAAAACTCTGTTGGTGATTTCAGACTTGTAATAAACAAAACTCTGTTGGTGATTTCGGGCTTGTAATAACCGAACGCTCGGGATCGTGTTTTTTTAATCCTAGTCTGAAGTTAGTCATGCGTCACAACAGTTATCACTTCACATTTTATAATTCGTTTGATAAATAAATCTAATTGGACCTCATTTAGCATTGTTTTACTTTAAGGATTGTTGATTCTACAGGCTGTTTTACTTTCAAATAAGGTCCACTTGTCATCATTATATTTTAAGGTATAGTTGATTCTACAGCCTGTTTTGTTTCAAATAAGGTCCACTTGTCATCATTATATTTCAAGGGTTGTTGATTGTACAGAATGCTTTATTTCAAATAAGGTCCACTTGCCATCGCTTTATTTTAAGGGTTGTTGATTCTACAGCCTGTTTATTTCAAATAAGGTCCACTTGCCAGCATTATATTTTAAGGATAGTTGATTCTACAGCCTGTTTTGTTTTCAAATAAGGTCCACTTGTCATCATTATATTTTAAGGGTTGTTGATTCTACAGCCTGTTTTATTTTCAAATAAGGTCCACTTGTCATCATTATATTTTAAGGATTGTTGATTCTACAGCCTGTTTTATTTTCAAATAAGGTCCACTTGTC